AGTTTCCCACTATGAAACCTCTAGAATATACCTGTCCTGTACACACGCGGAACACTACGCCAAGAAGTCGCAGATAAAAATTCGGTAGAAAGCAGCTGGAATTCGGTCAAATTTCTATCGAAGCACGCAAGTCCACCCCATGCGGTGCAGTTCGTACGTTCACTTGTCGAGCCCGCAGTAATAAATACATGTACGTTATACATTGCATACCTTTTGCTTGCCTTGCAACGATATGCCCGTTAGCGTTTTCTAAACGTTCAGCATCTCGCGGACTTCATTTCAATTGCAATTTCTATTTCTAGATCGACAGATTAACCGACTGCAATCAGTTGTATACATCTGGCATACGTGACTAGAGAGAACAGTGGCGCCACTAGTTCGTGTGCTCGCCGTGCGCTGGAAATAATTACTGTCTAGCTTCGTGATGTATTCACAGAATTGATTTTTAGCGAGTAGATTAATAACTGTAATTATTGAAAAAACATCTGTGATGAGAAAATAACCAAAAATTCTTTTAAAAAGTAATAAAAAAAAATTGAAAAATGAAACTAACATACAGTGGATGTAGAAAGTATTCGTACACCGATCAATTTCCAAAAAAACTATGTAAAATTGTAATTTATTAACTTATTTTGTATAAACAATGACATTCTACGTATTCTCGGAAATCTCTAGAATAGATAGATAGATTACAAAAAAATAGCTATTTATGTAAGTTGCGAAATTAACGAGAAAAAAATAATTAATCGATAGAAATATTGAAGCAATAAGTATTCGCACACTGGTTAATTGTTAAAACTTCTATATAATACTTTCTTCGTGGGATTTTCTTTTGATTTTATAATTATTGTAACTTTTCTAAGCATTAAATAAACTAAATTATTAGTTAGAAGTTAATAAGAAGTGGGATCTTCTTCAATTCTCCTATTAGAACCTTTTTTAAAAGTACTTTACTGTAAATTTCATGTTTTCTAATTCGTACGAAGCAATAAACTAATGTGTTTACGTTACAAACTCTACTGTAAATGGTTCGTCATGAGAATCGTACAAATACTTATCTCTTCCATACTTTTACCCACTTTCGCATTGTTTTGTTAATTTCACAAATTATATTAACTAGTAAATTTTGTTTGGACTATATCTATCTTAAAGACTTCCGAGAATATGTAAAATATTATTGATTCTAAAAAAAGAAGTTAAGAAGCTACAATTTCACAGAAAAGTTTTTTGGGAAATTGATCGGCGTACGAATACATTCTACACCTACTGTACACAAGATTTGAATCTGACTGAAATTATACCTACATAAAGTAGGTCCTCGAGTTACAAATGATGCGAATTTTGAAGGGATCGGCGATTATGGTTGTCAAATATTAAATCTCGTGTGATTTGACGTGGAATGGTCCGAACGTGTTAACTCGCCACGAATCAGGTTCTCTGGAGTTTCACCGATCGGTGTCAATGGATATGGGAACAACATTTCTCTTTTTCTTCACCGTTACGCGGTTAGTCACGTTTATCGATTGGCAGGGACGTTCATTAATAATTCAACGCAATATGTTGCATCCGAGGATGGCCACGGTGGCCCGAGCACTTTGGATTACAAAAGGAACAGTTACGAAGTAAGAGGCACGAAGAAGTCGCCATTTGGTAATCATTGTTTCATTTAAATTGTTTGCAAATCAATCACAGCTTGGTAGGTCGTAATTAAAGCAGGGGAATAATATTTTCATGTACATAGAGACTCCGACGGTTCTAGCAGTTCCAATTTATAGAACTATCAAGAGAATCAAATACACTTATTATTATTAAAGATAAGATTCAAGATTCAGGACTGTTTTTAATTTAGTAGTAGCGGAGTAGCGGAAATAATACAAAAATTTTCAAAGTGTTATACAAAGGACTGATCATCAGTCGTTAAATGATTTGAAGTTTAAAGGGACCGGGCTGTCAAATTGCTTTAAATTGAAGTGTGAATCCTGACTTTTTCTTTTATACAATGTTTACATGTATGTTAAGGAGTGGACATTTTTTTTCGTTTTATGTATGTATATATGTGTGTTAAAAATGACGTTGCATGTGGTTAATGGGACCATTTTTAAGAAATCTTATTAATTGACACAAACTTTGAAATGAAAATATTGAAATATCCTTAGAAATGTAGAATCTATCAAGACCTAAATTAAAATGAATTTTTCACGTTTCCTTTGACTTCAGGTCTACACCAGGTACATCAGATCGTCGCACCGATAAGACAATATCATACCTTTTTATCAGTAGATACTCAGCGATAAAATGTGATCCTGAATTACCTGCTCTATTTTTTCTATTGAATCTATATAGAAAGTTATTATCAATCTATAATCCATTGTCAACCTCAATTCTGTGTTTACTTAATTCGAATGTCAAAACAAGACTGAAAATTTCCTCCACCTAACTTTGTACGATTACCTACATTTCTAGAAGGAAGAAGCCACCTTTCGAAAACGGACGTGCCGTTTAAGTCTTACTTCCTTAATCCAACCAAAAATCCCTCTGAATGTGTTGCAGGAGAAACAATGATCTAAAATTTGGTTAAACAATTGAATATTCCCAGACATAGCCATCATCTCGTAACAAAAAAATTCTAACAAGTAGTATTTGGAGTCAGCATTAAAAAAAAAGAACAACGAAAGATAGAAAGTAGTTGCATTCAAGCCGCCAAAAATTGTATAGGAGTGTGTTATCGTGGAGAAGAATCGACGAGTTCGTCGCACGACGAAAGTGAGAGGGCTCGAGTAACCCGGAAGGACAAAACGAGTTCTCGGTACTTGTTACAGCGAAGGTCCTCGAGAATGTGTGGGCTGAAAACTGTCGCTGTCCGTCTGATTTACGAGATACGTCTCGATATCGAGATGTTTTCCCCAATTCAAGTTCCTTCAACGTTTATTAAGCTCGGCGAACAATCGCCGGAACAAGGTTCATCGAAATTCAAATTATAATCGACCGTAGCGATATGACCAATAATTTTCTCACGAAATAAAGTTAAGACTTTAATTAAGATTTGTGCACGGAGTCAATCTAAGCACATACAGTGGGTGTAGAATGTATTCGTACACCGATCAATTTCCCAAAAACTTTTGTTTGAAATTGTCATTTCTTAACTTCTTTTTTTATAATCAATGATATTTTACATATTCTCGGAAATCTTTAAGATAAATATAGTCCAAACAACATTTACTAGTTAATATAATTTGTGAAACTAACAAAAAAATGCGAAAGTGGGTAAAAGTATAGAAGTAACAAGTATTTGTACGATTCTTATGACGAACCATTTACAGTAGAGTTTGTAACGTAAACACATTAGTTTATTGCTCCGTACGAATTAGAAAACATCAAATTTACAGTAAAGTACTTTTAAAAAAGGTTCTAATAAGAGAATTGAAGAAGATCCCACTTCGAATAACTAATAATTTAGTTCATTTAATGCGTAGAAGAGTTGCAATAATTATAAAATCAAAGGAAATCCCACGAAGGAAGTATTATGTACTTATAAATAAATGTAAATTTCTTTTTTTTTTTTAATGAAGTTTTAAAAATTAAACAGTTGTGCGATTGTTTTTTTTCTTGCTAATCTCGCAATTTGCATAAGTAGCTATTCTTTTTTTGTACTCTATCTATTCTAGAGATTTCCGAGAATGTGTAGAATGTCATTGTTTATAAAAAATAGGTTAATAAATTACAATTTTACATAGTTTTTTTGGAAATTGATCGGTGTACGAATGCATTCTACACTCACTGTATATTTAATTTTACGTTTAGATTGTTGCTGTGAGCCCTTTTCAATCAGAAAGCTTTTACATGTATGAATTTGTGTCTGAGGGACTAATTATAGGACGCATTTATTAATTCAAAGGAAATCCAAGCGTACATATTTAATTTTACGTCTCGATTTTAGGCGTGAGCCCTCTTTAATAACAGAGTTTTTACATGTATGAATTTATCTGTCAGCGACAAATTATGAAACGTATTTATCAACTGGAAATAAATATGCTTCATAACCAACCCTTAAAGACTGGCGTTGCTCCTATTACTCTACAGTTTAATTTCAACCCTTTAAATATATTTAAATCTGTTAGTATCAACAAGAATAACTTATTTGTTCCTCATCCAATACGATGATTATCCAATTGAACGTGTAAATGCCTAACAGTGTTAGTATTAACGGTATTAACATTATTAATTGACTCCATAACTTGATTCATCTCTCGCGCTTTCTACAGAGATTCACCTCCAATTATCAAGAGCTACGCGTTTCTTTCGATTGTCCACTAGACAAGAATTAGAAAAAATCTTTAAATAATGGTCCCTCGAAAACTAAGTGACACAACCCTGTTGCGATCTCGATGTCCGTTTTAATCCTTTCCAAATCGATCTCTTTCCAGACCGGTTCCACGGTGGTCTTACATGAATCTACTCGTGATGTAATATCGTTCGAATGAAAAATAAAACGAGTTTGAAAACGGAGTCGACCGGCAGAAAAAACATTAAATAACAACCGGATCAATTTTTTCGGGGACAACTGTCAACGAAATGCAACTAACATTTGAACTGAGCTATTTCACAAACTCTATTTTTCGTTCCACTTAACAGATACATATTGATAAGTCGGTTTGTGTGTAAACTGTGGCCTGCGAAATTCACTTTTACGTTAGGGGCAACGGGTCACAGGTGAAACCTCATTAAAAACCACAGAGGTTTCAAGGAGAGAAGATAAGTGGGGTCAAACTGTCACCACTGAAGGGACGACATCGTATGAATGAAATCACCTCTTTTTTTTTACGTGAAATAAAGTGCCAATATTTTTGACAGTAAACACAGGTAAAACTAGGTATTTTTCAACACCCCCTCTGGTAAAGCTTGACAGGCCTTTATAAGGACAAGCATTACCTTAAACTTTCGTTTTTAATTTCAGTCTCTCGGTTGAAACGTTGACGGTTCACTTAAGCATTTTCACTTACCATGATTCGTCCAGTTTTTTGAGAATACGTAAATATACTCCTAAAGTGGAAAGTAGCACCAAGACGTAAACGGTTCGATAAACTTGGAGCGCGCTTGGACCGAGAACAAGGGCACGTATCAACTGTCTCTCTGTGATCAGGTGAGAAAAAGAAGGCGTAACGTTATCGTAGAGAATCAATGATCGAGTATCGACCGCCGCATGTTCGTGGAACTGTCACTGGCAACAGTTCGAAAAGCACTGACCATAGTGAACGAGAGAGCCCGTTGTCATTCTCTCTCTCCCCCTCTATCGAGCCCGCTACTTCACGCTTACTCTCTCTCGACAGATCTGCTCCCCCTCCGATTTTGGTCTTTCGGTAGCCCCATTCACCTGACCGTTTCTTTCCCTAGGTGCCCACGTTTTGTTGTCCGCGGAGACGACAATCATAACGCACGTTTCGTGTTTTATGAAATGGGTGACCCAGGTGATGCACGCATGTGGACGCTGGGGTGAGCTTAGATACACTTGATGGCTAGACTCTGGATTTTTGTGCATTCATGATGTAAACTAATATAATAAACGAGATGTTTTTTGATCCGATGCACATTTCTTAAGTTATCCGTGGTGGTGGATTAAAATGAAACACCCTGTATATATACATGTATTACATACGCATAAATATAATAATAATAATATATGTATATATACTATTTCCGTTTAGTTATTCACTCGTAAATTTATACTCTCCCATCTAGATTGCGTTATTAAGTTTTCTTAAAAAAACTAAAAAACTACTTGACCGAATTAGAACAAAATCTAATCAGCTCTAAGTTAGATTGATACACGTCAATTGCATCATCGATCATTTTGATCTCGCTATTTGTTTTTTTAGAAAACGTTAACACACACACGCGCGCGCGCGCGCGAACAATTTGTTACAAATAGGCTAAAATTACTCCAATCACCTTAAAATATGGAGATCTGCTAAAAAATCTATTTTTTATTTTAGGGTCAAATACAATAACTTCCCTATAAATCGGGAAGTTAATTATTATATGTGTTTATACATGATAAACATAGCCAAAGGCTTCAGATTTATGCATTTATTAAATAAACTAATATGATAAATACATGGTAAATGTAAGTAAAGGTATCCACACTTATGCAAAATGAAATAACAATATTATTATAATAATTGTAGAATATATTCAACATACATTATGTACACTGTATGTGTCAATTTATCAATGAGCTGAAGATCCATCACTGTTTATTCATATTTAATTGCAAATGTCTAGAAGTAAATTGTCTTTATCGATCTCTCTGTCGTGAGAGAAAAAATGTCTTCATGAAGATGGAGTATTTCTAAATGAGGTAATTGCAGATATAAGAGATTCAAGAACGTCGCAATTTAACTTAAAAGTTTCTGAACTTGAATATTCTGATTTAAATGAAACTTTGTCTGAATGTCAAGCACGTTGTAGTATACAAAGAACAATTTTTTATAATATTTCTTATAATCTTATAACGTAACATTTATTCTTATTATATATCTATTAAATTTCCATGAACTTTATTTCTGCACAGATTCCAATTTTTTAGCTAGTAAACTCACTACGCTAAGTGTTGCAGACGATCATAATTTATTTTAAATCAAGCCACTTATGATATCAGCTTGAAAACTAATTGGTAACAGTAATCGTCTGTAGAATGAATATTATATTATCCCAAAGTTCATTGACGTCGCCAAATGTAGACTGGTTTCTTAATATTAAGGAAACTCTTGATCAAGTGTCCGATTACTGAAGCATGTCCAATTATCCTAACACGATTAATTCGTACCGTATAATATCGAAAGCGTGTTGTACGAAGTAAACGTTCTATGACGTGGTTAATTCGTATCGTGTTATATAGAAACCGTGTAGTATGAGGCAAGTAGCGACTATAATAGGATTGGATTGTAAAACACAAAAATAAAATGAAGTAAAATTAAGTGATACCAGAAGACATTTTATGTAAATATATCTTAAATCTTCATATTTCAATCTTTTAAAAAATGATTTCTATGAAAATACAATGGATATTTAGATTCATTTATTCCGTGATATGAATAAATATATTTTTAATTTTTTTAAAGATTTGAGTCTTTAAAGTTACCAATCTTAGGCAATAATATTGTTTATCTGTATTGCCTATGCTTGTTAGTATTTCACTGACTGTTTCACTCAATATTATCAAAAGACTGGCACGTTTTTGGATATCCTCGTATTACAAGCATTTAATTAAACGAAATCCGTTAGGAGACTGTTCGGAATGTGACAATTGGGTCGCGTTCGCCTTGATCCCTATTATCACGAGTATTTTCTATCACAGCATTCCTATTACATGATAAATTTCACAATCGGAGGTTACCTTGTTGCTCTGGATAGATACACATCTAAAAACACTAGTTCGGTTATTTTTAATATTAGGGGACTTGCTTTTCTCGAACTGAATCAACATTGGTTTGTCCTATGAAGGCAACAAATCGTGATAAAATGAATGTTCTGTTGCGCTTGCTATTGGGAAAAATACATTTGACGCGTTTCATGATAATTTATTATTAGATGTATTTATGTAGGCTACTTAATATAACATCAGACATCGAAATACTTGAACATGCGTATTTTATTATTACAAAAATCCTAAAATTATTCTTGGAGAACCCTTTTTAATATTTATTTTATTTAATCGAAGTTCTGATAGCAATCAATCTTCTACTGTACTTATTGCGACAGATAATTTCGCTATATGATATTTCCTGACGAAATATTCAATTTCTTAACAAATCAAGCTACTTTATAGTTCCAACGATGCTCAGTATACCAGAACACTTTTACTGACAGGTTTAGTCATTATTGAGAATACTTCAAACAATTCAAGCGTAAGTGGCATAATTTATCCCACAAACCTGACAAATTAACTGTGCCTGCAATAGTGTTAAAATTCCATGGATTTTTCGTGCAGCTGGATAAGAAGTATTTAAACAATTCACGCTGATTGCCAACAACATAACGTCGCAATACCAACTGTAGAATGAAAAAATGTAGAAAGTTAACTTTAGAATTTATGCGTAACAGTTGCTCGCCGTGAAAATGTTCTCACGAGTTCCGCAAAATAGCACCGCAGAGGTAATGTTATTGTTCATTAATATTAATTAGTTGTTCCAATGAACGTTGAAGGTCACAAATCATTAGAGACAGCTCAATAAATTTACTGGATGTTGTTATATAAAATTTCATTCAAATTCTAGAAAAAGATCGATAATAGAGATGCTTCAACTTTATCAAACAGAACTTACCTAAAATTCAGATCTACGGAAGGTTATCTTCTTTTAGACAAGGTGTGTCGTTTAGTTTGGATTCCTTACCTTCGTTACTGTTGTTAATACCTAAAAAGATCAGTCACAGAAAGAAAATGTTTGGTTCAAAATGGAACACAAAATATTCACAAAACTTTGTTCGCAAGGTTACCTTTTCCCAGTATTCAAAGTCATAAACATTTCTGAAATAATAACAACATTTACCGTCACTCTCATTTTATGGTCACAGTGAACAAAGAATAAATTTTAGTTGTACAATGCATTGACATTCGAATGACCTCGTGTAGGAAATTCGCGACAGTTTAAAGGATACCGAGGGAAACCTTTTTATTTTTTGTTTCCTGGCAGGTGAATTTTCATGGGAAATTGTTCGTTCTCAGACGCGGGTGGAAATGTGCAGATTGAAATACTTGTTTTTTCGTATGCACAGAGTGTGTTATCTGAATACGTTTGTAAAATACAGCATGTTTTCTAGGAAGCATCTCATTTCAGTCTTACCGATCTCTTCGACATGGGAGACGCATTTTCGCGTCGGTTGAACGCGTCAAGAATTTACGCCGCGATTGTGGGAGCCAGAGAGTGGAAATAGTTGGCGAGTGGTCGAGCAACGTCCACAGAAACGGGTACAGAAAATCGTGGGCGAGAGACCACGGAGCATGACCATGACTATTTACTATGATTCTATCTCCTTCGAAAGGGTATTATATGTTTACGTGTGGACTGTCTAAAAAGAACACTTGATTTGAAGATTTTTGTTTCAATGAAACGATTAATTAAAAGAATCGTATTTTAGTCAGAAGATTCTACCTCCCTGTTTAAACACAACTACTTGATTTTAAGAGCTTTGTTTCAATCAAATTATCAATTTACAGTGGGTGGAGAAAGTATTCGTACACCGATCAATTTCCAAAAAAACTATGTAAAATTGTAATTTATTAACCTATTTTTTAGAAACTATGACATTCTACATATTCTCGGAAATCTCTAGAATAGATAGAGTACAAAATAAAATAGCTACTTATGCAAATTGCGAGATTAGCAAGAAAAAAAACAATCGCACAACTGTTTAATTTTTAAAACTTCATTAAAAAAAAAAAGGAATTTACATTTATTTATAAGTACATAATACTTCCTTCGTGGGATTTCCTTTGATTTTATAATTATTGCAACTCTTCTACGCATTAAATGAACTAAATTATTAGTTATTCGAAGTGGGATCTTCTTCAATTCTCCTATCAGAACCTTTTTTAAAAGTACTTTACTGTAAATTTGATGTTTTCTAATTCGTACGGAGCAATAAACTAATGTGTTTACGTTACAAACTCTACTGTAAATGGTTCGTCATAAGAATCGTACGAATACTTATCTCTTCTATACTTTTACCCACTTTCGCATTGTTTTGTTAATTTCACAAATTATATTAACTAGTAAATGTTGTTTGGACTATATTTATCTTAAAGATTTCCGAGAATATGTAAAATATCATTGATTATAAAAAAAGAAGTTAAGAAATGACAATTTCAAACAAAAGTTTTTTGGGAAATTGATCGGTGTACGAATACATTCTACACCCACTGTAAAAGATTGCAGTAGATCATCGTTTCTCCATTACACACTCACCTTAAAAAAACTACTAACATCAGATATCAGTGTCCTCTTGACAAAAAGTAAACGAATATTTCGGATACCTAATTTCAACCCTTTGCAGACGGATATTTTGGAGCACGAACCTTCAGGAAGAGCAGGAAAATAATGTGTATTTAAGAATTACTGTATCCAATGTACAAATTTTATTTTAATTCAATGAATTGTTACATACGCTGTTGATGTAAAGTTTCAGTTATCTTAGTCGAACCAAAATATGAATGAAACTTAGTGATTGAAGTTATTGACAATTCATTTAATTTTTTCAAGTTGAAACAATTATATTCGACCTTTTAGAGAATCACAAGAATATCTTACAGTAATTATAGAATAATTCAAATTATATAAATAAGCCCTAATATATACAATGATTAATATAAAATTCGAAACCAGCGTGTTTGTAATTTAAAAATGTAAAAGTATTTTGTCAAGTATTAACAACAAGACACCGTCAGCAAAGGATTGAGTGCCTCTGTCCCATATACACAGCAATTACTCAATTCGTAATCTTCCTAAATATATGCGAAACGAAAGCTACGAAATAGCAAAGTAAAATACCGACAGTCATATAGGATAGAACGCAGGATACAAGGGTACATTTTAAATGATATGAATATATTATATTTTCGTAAGAAATCCGCACAAATATCCATAGTGTATTAATCGTACGACATATGATGTAACGCGTGTACATATAATGATATTAGATTACACTGTATACTTAAGGTAAATCATTAATGAAGTAATGAACGATTCAAAGAGTTTTCAATAGTAGCAGGTAAGAATTGCACATGGTGGTCGACGCGTAACATCGATTATATCAACAAGTTCAGAACAACGACGAGGCGAAAGTGCTCGAACGGAACCCAAACTCATCCGAATCATTTTTTTTTTTCGTTTCGCGACAGTCGGCCTTTGCTTTCGATTATTCTATCGATTATTCGAGAAGCGTTGATCGAGTTCGAGTAAATTTGTTCAGTCTCTGCTTTTTTTCCGTCCTTGGCTGAGATTCACGAGAGTCGCCGCTTGCTCGCTCGCTTACTCGCGAGAGAAAGAAAGAAAGACGTACAACGTGAAAGTTTCAACCAATTACACCTAAACCCCCGATTTACACGGTACTTTATTACACGTCTTTCAATATAATGGATTTTTAACAGTGGAAAGCATTGAAAACAAGTCAATTTTTTAGTGTCGTTTTTGGCTACACAATAATCATTTATATTAATTAGGGCAGTAAGGTCGATATCGTTACGCTATTTGTAATAAAACATTTTTAAAACTTTGCGTTCAGTGGTTAGTGATACATACCTTTAGTTTTTGCAGCATTTTTATAATTCGATTATAATTTCCCAGGTATTGAAAATTGAAAAAATAAAATATACATAAACATATTTATGTTTTTGTCATTCATGATTGGACTGATGTTCTTTTATTTCTCTCACATGAGATAAATTTAGTTGGTCAAATGCCTCAATTTTCTTTTCGTTTTTCAATTCACATGTTTTTTGATACAAAAAGCCATGATTTTGTAAGTCAGAGGATAGGTGTAACATAAATACGAGTAGCCTGTGGACGTATGCATTCATAGAAAATAAAAATATTAATAAATCTATAAAAATATGCAGAAATGCAAAAATATATAAAATATCAACGATAATACACCTTTTAGCATTTAGAAGATAAAACATATTTCCATTAAAATTATCATTCTCTATACGAATCGATAAAAATATGAATTTGCACAAACATCCACAGCCTACGTATGAATATAATATCAGCCATCACGCGTCATGCAACATTCGACAGCGAGCAGTCCCACGCGCGTCTACCTCGACTGGCGCCTGTTCTCGATTGGTTAGTGTTCCTGTGACGACAGAAAAAGTTCTATACCGCCAATTCCACATCGAAAACGGTAAAAGTATTTCGTCTGGCATAACCAGACAAGGAAGTAGGTATACGTCTGTCGATACACAATACTTTTCGCGTGGCTTTGTCCTCGCGCGAGTCCGTACACTGTTCGATCATCGATCTCGAGATTCAGCTCCAGCAGAGATCGGAAACGAGGAGAGCTCCAACCAAGTTCAAACGCTGCTCTCGTTGGGTTTGCATGCCGAACGGGAAAGTTACTACGAACAGGTAACCGCGAAGAATTAGACTGTTGAACAATTTGCTCCTGCTAGTGAGTGTGACGTCGCTCCTTCCTAACTTCAGCATCTCCTGTTGTGCCCTTTTGGTACATGCGCCTGACGCTTCGTCTGACGTATCGATCATTCTGTCGATTCCTCAGCAATAGTTGTCCTAGTCCTCGTCTTTTTACCTCATCGTTTCTCTTCGATACACCGTGTCTCTCTTTTGCTCCGTTTTCCGTTTTCTTTTAAAACGCGGCTAAACGATCCGCTTCCTTTGTTCGATGTTACCTCCCTCCGTCCTCCTCCTTCTTCCCCTCCCCTCATCCGCCCCCATCAACCGTTGGTTCTACGTCCTGATTACATGATTATACATTTGCCTTTCTCGGCCCATGGATTGTTCTTCTTGTCGGGCGCGTGTATCAGCGGGTCAGTCTTCTCGTTCTCTTCCACGTATTCCCTCATCCTGGAAACAACCAGATCATGCGATTCGATTAGAATGTTTCTTTACGTCTCGATTGGGATTGGATAGCAGCGGTCATTGGGTAGATGTTGGTTCCAACCGATGCTTCCGGGTGTAATTTGCGTGCTTCGGGATGTATGCTTGGCTGAGACATCCTGACGTTTCGTCAGGATTGCAACTGGCTTCTTCAAGGATCAAATTATATAATATCAAGGGGTTAGTCGCAGTCAGGAAAATGGAAACGGACAGTTTCTTGTGTGTGTTTCTTTTTAAGGTATTAAATAATAATTTTTCTGAATGAAATGTAAATATATTACAAAGTATGTCTTAAAGAACTGTAAAAGAATATTTGTTTTAAAAAAAGGTTAATTGATTTCGTCATAACAGGCGATTGCGAGGGTGGGTGGCCACTTGGTTTGCGGTGAGCAAGATTTCCTCAAACTGGTGCACCTGAAAACAAAACTAAAGGTAGATTTAGAAAATATATTAGACTAACGGGTCCCTGATCGAAGGATTTTTTATTTTCTTGTATACTTTCTTTTTTATCCTGTATTAAATCGCTTAATTTTAGTGAAAAAATTGAAAATCAACTTCAAATGTACGCCATCTTGTTTTCAATTAATTTTTTCCAAAATCTCTCGTTCAGGGACCCGCTAGACTAATCTATTTTCGAAACCTTACCTTTGTTTTTGTTTTCAGGTAAACCAGTGTAGAGAAATCATGCTCACCGCAAACCTATGTTTTTAAATCATCGTCTACGTCATCGGCTGTTATGATGATATAAATTAAACGTTTCTTAAAACAAAAAATGTTTTTTAGTTCTTTAAAACATTCTTTATAATATACTTAATTGTTACTTATGCAAAATATTATTTAATAACTAAAAAAAATCACAAAGAAATGTCGTTTTTCCTCTTCCTGACTGCGATGAACCCCTAAATAAGATGTTACCACTTTATTTACCGGAAGCCTATTTATAGGCTTTTTAATTACAGTATTTAGTTATGTAATTAATGCAATGTTCAGTGTTTGGTAACAGACTTGGCTTTCAATGTACCTAGTAACAGTATGGAGGAATTATGGTCAGCCTAGATTGGCATATGCTACTGTAGAAAATTCTTTTTTAAATTAATGTCTGCTTCTAAATATCCCGGTAGATAAAGTGTTAATGTAGTATGTGTGTTATTTAATCCTTGAAGAAAGGAATGCTGGAGAAACATGGGAGTGACTTATACTCAAAGCATACAAATTACATCTGGAACTTCAGTTAGTATGGAATATTCGTGTAATTTTATTGTAAGCATAGGCAAGTATGTATTATAAAATTTATTTACGATTATATTAGACATACAATTTAACTCGTCATAGTCTTCCTTATTGGTTTTTATGTTACATTTGCTTTATGAAAGCCCGTAGCCGAATAAGAAGGATCAATTTAATTATTTTGATGTAAACAAATTGAATACTGTCAAATTGTCGAATACAAAAAACATTACGAACTGTTCCTGCTAAAGTTCACTGGTTCATTGGTCACTGGTTGGTGTGTCGTTTGTTTTTTGAAGATGTTAGACAGCATCAACTAGTGTCAACCATGAAGAACTAGGTCGAGAGGGTGTTAAATATCCTATTCGAAAGCTTTGTTCGCTGCTCGAATTGGATCCGGATGAACCGGCTCGTACGCCAGGCGTTCCATAGCGTGCAAAGCTTTTTCTAAGTAACAATAGAAAGTAACTGTACGGATACGGTTAGAAGGAAGTTAACGGACCACCCAAGACTACTCGCTATTGCTAGAGAGCTGAGTTATCGTAAATATTATTTTCGTGACAATATTTCTTCCTTGAGATGTCAGGTAATATTTTTGAATGTGTTGGTAAAGTTTAAAGTATCTATGAAAGGAGTCGCAGGGTATTTATTAAAAAATGTCTATAAATGTAATGAAATGTGTTGAAATTGATATCTTATGTATCCCTGTAACCATGTAGAATCATCATGAACAGACAGATGGTGCCTTTGTTCGCAAATAAATAAGGCAGAATCAATTTTTAATTTTTAATTTTGCTTTATTTATTTGCGAACAAAAAAAGCCAGTGAAGGGTTAAAGTTGAAGTCACTCATGCAGGAAGAATGTCAAAGAAATAAGACAGTAATTGATAGAAAAATGTAAGCTAGTCGAATGGTTCATTTCGAGCTCTAAAATAATAATACAGAATCTTTTTTAATTTTACACAATGAATATCTAGAATTTATATTTCTTGGATCCCCATCTTAAAGTTGAAGTCACTCATGCAGGAAGAATGTCAAAGAAATAAGACAGTAATTGATAGAAAAATGTAAGCTAGTCGAATGGTTCATTTCGAGCTCTAAAATAATAGTACAGAATCTTTTTTAATTTTACACAATGAATATCTAGAATTTATATTTCTTGGATCCCCATCTTCTTTGGATCTTTAGAAATAACAAAGTTCGATACTTATGGAATAAATAAGAATTATTTATTCCATAAGCAAGAGCCCTTGCAGCCCCCACCTCCACTGACCACCGTCCGCGAGGAAATTGTCTAGAAAAGTTATGTAAGCGACATATTATGAAGGAACTGTGAATAAAAAGAGCAGTAAACATGGACATTAGCAAATTGTGGTGCATCGTGGAGGCAGTATGACATAAATTATTGGATCAGTGACCATCGGGTTCGCGAAGCACAGGATTGCGCTAAATGCAACAAGGTTGAAAGCGAGGCAAAGAAAATCACAGAGAATCGAGGCAAAGAATAGTCGTTTCGCGGCGAACAGCTTGGTGAAAGGGACTCGGTTACTCGGGTCGATTTTGCGTTCAAGGAGAGCTCAGTGTTCCAAAGGAACGCGCCTGCCTGATTATGACCAACTTTTCGTATTTTCTTGCCGCACGTTTTCAAGTCGTGGCAACCGACGCCAAATTGCAACGACTTCCTGCGACATGACCCAACGGCACCGATTCGGCTTGCTTTAACTTCTTCGCGATGCAATCGCTTTGCGTTTGATGAGGAGAATGTCTTTGTGTGATAATTAGCATACATGGATGTTTAGGCACATTTAAATGTTACAAATAATGTGGACGATGTTCACAGTGAGTATGATATTTTGCAGGTAATGGTATCTCGATAAATATTGGATTTATTGCAAAAATAGGCTTTATAGAAAACGAGTGTGATTTATTTGTTTTATATAGTCAATGAATTATTTATATAAGCTACTACATCATCCGTGCAAGGTACTACATACTTAAAAATATAAATTGAAGAATTTAATAATATATTTCACGTTAACTAGTCACCTGAAAATAAAAGGAATTAATTTATCTAAAATTGAACAGTATTTGGGTCACGATATCCTTGAAGAAACCTTGTCTGTTAAACAATTCAAGTAGACATTGACACAATTTTCTAGAAAGAGTGATAAGTAGCTAGAGAAACAACCATGACCCTCAGTGGTTAAATACATATCTCTCATTGTTTACATGTACACATTTACTACGTGGCAGTGGTGGTAGTAATAAAAATCTGTTCTCATTAGACAACTCAGGGTTTAGTAGAAAATACAAGAAAATTATAAGCTTTCACTTATCACTTCATATTACAACCGAATGTAGGCTAATAACTAGCTTACTGTCGCTACGGTTCTGTTTTCGAGGCTTGGACTCGCAACGAACCCTTTACTCAAATTAAGCAATTTTCTTCAATAATATTATGCCATTATATGGAAATGTTAATTCTGAGTTTTGTTGCTGAAGTACACGACCGATTTTACCTAAATTTTATTTATCTCTTGTGTAGGAATCCTCAAGAATACGGTGTAATGGGTGTAAATTAACGAGATTACATAGAATCGGTTTAAGTATCCCTCTTAGCCTGTACACAGTGTAACCTTGTCGCATTAAAAAGATATTTCGCTACAATACAAAAGAATATGAAAATCACTTCTACTAAGGACGAGGCTATTCTTCCCTTATTCCATTACTATTCCGTTATTATTATTATAGATTTTAACATATCGAAGAAGGGTGAAATTTTAGCCAAAAACATTCCATAATGTATAATCTGTAATAGAGTTTTATTAAAGACGATGACTTATACATTTGAGCAGAGAAGTGTACATCATGAAGTACAGGGATTTTTGTTATTGTTTTCTATTCAGACTTCCTCGAAGAGGTAATACTGGTCGCAAATTTACCAATGAGGTCAAGATATCTAAACTGACGAGGCGAGCACTTATCTGGCTTCTGTGCAAAAGCAAACGCGAGACTTGTGGTCGATGAAATATATGATTGATTAAGTGAAGCAACAAAATACGTGCAGTGGGTGTAACTATGATACATCATGACCCATTTATATGAAGCAAAAAAAAAACCAAATTTTTTCCTAATAAATACAAAATCATTTATCATTCTACGACCTGTAGCTATGACTTTCTTTTTTTTTAATTTTCAAAGAAGTCTCCTTAGACGTTTCCCCTAAAATGTATCTGTAATTTATCGTTGTAACGAGCCGTTCCATCTTGTCTCTCCCGCGGTTTTCTGGCTCTATGGCATTCTCTAAGATGCATTTCGCCATTCCTTCTCATCCATAAACATCGGTTCGCCAATTTTTTGGAAATATCCTAGATCTCCCTCGGAGTCTTCGTCGACGGAATTCGCTACTTTCGCCAACACCATATGGTTCTGTGGAGCTGAGCGCGCCTGCATGGTCACAGATTGGCACGTCACAGCGATCCTGAGAATGTCGTTGGGTACCATTCCCCTTCCAAACCTTTATAAGCGTCGAGGAAACTCAGAGGTATACGTTTGTACAGTCTTCCACTTTTCCTGTCAAAAGAATGGACGACCAAACTCCCTCTCTAGGAAGTCTAGGGCCATCCTAATAGGACTTCTGCAGAGTTTCACTTCTGTGGTCGTCTAAGACACCTCTTGAACTTAGATTTTTCTAAAATTGCATTCAAAATGAACTTGTAATGTTTATGAATGTGTGTTAT